GATTGTATCTTACTTCCTTGTTTCTTTTAGAGTTTCTGATTGAATGTAAATAGACTTGTAATTTTTACTGAATTAAACACTGCCATTCTTATATTACATAAAAAAACTATAAACAACTTTTTTTGGTTTGTAGTTATCCAGTGATATTATAATCTCTACATATTTAGAACACTTTGTTTTTGTTTTACCTATGTAAAGAAGTGACACAAGTAGTTATTTTGCGATACTGTTTGTAGGCTCTTGCCTTTATTTAGATAAAAAAGGTACCTAATAAAGACTGCACATTATAAATCTATCAAACCACATGTAAGTATATTAAAATGTTAAGATGACTTGTATATCTACATATTTCATTATATTTAATTAAATCTAATTTTTTTGTTTTTAATTATGAGCACCAATTTCTAAAGTAAAATTATAATAATTTAAAATATTGTCTATAGTTATAAAATACAATTTATTATTTATAGTTTTTTTTTATATTAGTAGTATGTATTATGTGCCTATAACTACTTGGGAAGTTGCTTACTTTAGTTATAACTTACTTAAGTATACCTAGAGTTGGTACAGCATTTTGAGTGAGTCGTTTAGGTACTTGAAGAACGGTAAAACTGTTCAAAATGACGATCATATATTCTTATATTATTATTAATGTAAAAATCTTCCTTTTGTTTCATGTCTTCATTTAAAATATTTTTCCATTGAATGAATTTCTCCAAAATTGGGTATTCAGGTTTAGGAAATTGATAAAAAGCACCTGAAATGTTTTTATTAAAAGTCAATAAACTGTTACTGTCTGTGTTTAGTCGCACTCCGAAAATAACACTTAATAGCCGATTTTCGTGGCATTTTTCAACTTATCGATAATCCAAATTCATAGTTTGCAATCAAAATCCAAATGAGAAGAGCCGGGGTCGATCGTAGTCGCAGAAAACAAAGTACAATTGAGAAAAGCCGGGGTCGATCGTCAAAAGCGTGGAAATAGGAGTAAATGATATATTAAAATGTTTGAAAAAGAACGTACAGCACAGTAAACAACGGCAAATGAGCAACTGAAATATCAAATAATTAATAATTTAAAATTTGTCCAATGTCAAATCAATTTGAGAGCTACTTCCGCCATCTATGAAGTTATAAAGGAAAATAGTGTCAAAGTTGTTGTAAAGACCCATTTTGATATTGTAAATGACATGGTCCAATATAATTTCTAAAGCTCCTGGTGTAATTTTTTTAAGACATTACTTAAGACTTGAAATAATGGATACTAAGGGACCAAGAAGCAACTTGCTTTCGATTCATGGTTATTTTAACAATATCGTAAAAAAATGTAAACCAGTTGACCCGCAACTTAATCTAATATTTTTATGTCAAAACAGGAACTGATATACCGAGAAAAATGTTGAAGAAGTTAGAAGGTTATACTTAAACCAATATATCAGGAGAAACTTTTCTATTTTTTTGAATAAAGTTAAAGAATCGTACAATGTATGTACTATATTTTAATTTATAAAATGTTAAGAACCATTTGCAAATAAAATTCAATTGGTGACGTCCTAATTTCGATGTGGTTACTGAACAAACTATCAAAACTTTATCTCTATCTTTTTCATTCTCATAATATATTTATTATTTTCTCTAATTACTTTAACGAAAACTGGGGAACTTTACAAACCAAAGATTGTTACTATGTATTTAAAATTAAAGATATAATTTAAGCAATGGACATTTTAGATCAAATATTAAGTAAATGTTTCTCACTTGTAAAAACATGAATATGTGTACCTATTGTTTGAAATATTAGCACTCACAAATAATAAATAATAGGAGTTGTTCGTGAAGCGACGACCTGGTAGTTTCACACAGTTGGCGGCAGATGAACAATTGTTAAAGATTAACTTAAACCCTAAACATTATATAGATCACTAAACAGATGAACCATTCACTTTAAGAAGAGAACTTGCTTCTCTGTCTGATTTCAGAGTGCTCGTCCACAGAGCTGTTATGGAATAAACAACCTGTCGGGGTATTGTCAAAGAACTTTATAGTAGTATTGTAAGGGTCGGCGATGTGCAAGGGATACTCCTGGTACTCTGCGACGACTTCTTAATAGCGAGGGACGGATCATACCCATGTTTGACACAGACGTGGAAATATAAAAAATAAATCTGATATCCTATAAAATATATGAAACAATTTTCAAAAATGTATTTCATGATTTTCTTTAGTAAAATGTCAATGCATAATATGTAATTAGGTAGGTATTTATTTAGTTGAATGACATGCGAAACTTACTGTAACTACTACTTACTCTTTACAATAAAACCTTTTTCTTTGTGTGGTTTGTTAAACAAGTTACGTTAACTTTTGAATTGTCCTCTTTAATATTAGAAAGATTATATTTATAATTTTGTTGTTCGGAAATGACATGAACAGAAATTTGAATGTCATCTTTACAAAAACTTTAGCAAATCAGTCTATTTTAGATTGTAATAACAAAATAGAATTTATAATAACTTTGGACATATATTTACCCAACGTTAAAACACAATCCATTTAACAAAATATATTGAAAATTGATTGTACAAAATTTACATCGAGCAAGCGCTTCATAGCTAAATTAAATTATTTTGTCTTGTTTATAATATTACAAATTTACAATCATGAGTACAGTGAGAACCACAAGCACGTCCTAGGTGTCGAAGTCTAAGCGGTCATCGTCTCTCTGAACGCTGGTGTCGTTCCAGCCTCCCTTGCCTTGTCACGGAGTATTTTCTTTTCCTCAACGACCTCTCCAAAGCGATATTTCGTTGTGTGTAAATTCCTAATAACTCCAACATTCGACGATAAAAAAACAACAATCATATTAGCTATGATTGTTGTTTTTTTTAATTCGTGTGCGATGAATACACATTGTCGTACCGGTCACGGACTTGTTAGTATGACATGACATGAGTATGACATGAAGAGAAGGAGGAAAAAGTGGGAAAGGGAGAGATAAGAGAAGGGGTAGGCCAGGGTGGGAAAAGAGAAAAAAGGGAGAGAAAAGGAAAGGGGTAGGAGGGTGGGAATAGGTAAAGGGCAAGCGGTTCTCTCACTCATCGGACGAAACGCAGCCAGTTATAGCTTTTAATGTCCTCTCCTAAAACATCAGATTCTTCCAAAATAAGTGGTTATGAAATGTCTTACCTAGTCATATAACTATCAGCTTTTAGACGGTAACCTTACTGTTACTTTGACTTTTACTGTTACTTATATAAATAAGACAGTGGCAAGGTTGTACAACACTTTTCTCGCATCAGTTCGTGTTATTTTCAACCCCCGATAACTTCGTCTTTAAACTAGAAACTTATATTACTAACCAAACAAGCTGTGTATCAACACGGAATATTTTAAATGTCATTCATTTTAACCAGTAGTTTAAGTAATATAATTTACATATAGGAACGTTTTCCATTTAATTACGTATTTTATTTAATATGTTAATAACATAATTGATAGAACATACTGTTTTTATTTATTTAAATATAGTGTATTATTAATTTGTATTACACGCGTATTTAATTTCGTTTCCGTGAATCAGCAACAGGCGATGTCTTTAGTGAAAACTCCATGCATTGCGAATTCAATTTAGTTTAAATTTTATTTTATATTTGTTGTATATAAATAAATAAAAAAATAATTTTCTTAACATAATTGTAATTATTCAAAGTATTACGAGCTAGGGTTTAAAGGATCATGCTGTTTGAAATACAAAAATGTTTAATAACTATTTAATTTTTTGGATTTTATATCAAATACATGGTTCTTTTTTTTTATTGATCTGTATACCAAGTTGAGCTGCCTCGGTGACCGTTTACATTTATTTGGTAGAATGAATATGAAGCTTTATATACGGATCACGAAGGATGGCCTGTTTGAACTTGTATTAAAACTCAAATAAGTTATAAAATATTTCATTTAGACTACGTTGTTTGAAATTTAGTACTAATTTCGGATTCAGTGTTTAAATACTCTTGTTTAAGTTTAATTTTTAAATCTAATGTAGTAATGTATTTTAATTCTGTATTAACTAGTGTTAGAAATAATTTAGGCAGTACTTCCTCTTATATGTTTATTGTTCCACAACCCGATTCAGAATTCCCAGTCTAGCACTTACATCTTATTTATAATATTCAAAGGTAACATATTAAGATGAAGGTAAATTATAATAGCCTAAAGAGGGTGCTAGTTCCTCTAGTAAGAGTTTCCATTATATAATGAAACACTTAACATTATGTAAAACATGCTGAGGCTCTAATTATAAATTACAAAACCAATTGTTAAGTATTTGGACACTTAAATTACTGTACAGAAATATTATTAACATTAATTTACATTATTATAACAAATATACAGGTGGCGCATGTTGACTCTCATAAGAATTCCCAATAAATATTAGAATACAAATAACGTTAAGTTGAGAATTATGAAGTAGACAACAATTTAAATCCTTATAAATAATTATTACTAACAGTACTTATGTAAAACAATTTTTTCGCGTTTTTCCAAGGAGATCTGGTTTATTTTTTTGTGTTATAGCAGGGCCATAAAAAAATGTTGTTGTTCTGAAGATTTTTTCCCTTGAGTCTGATCGGTGCACCTTTAATCACGTTTTGTAATGTTAGTTTTAATTATTTCTTATTTGTATTTTATTATTATAAGTAAGAAAAGATAAGAGTCTGAAAATTTAAAATAAATAATAAACCAATAAATAACAATTTAAAACATAATTTTGCCAACAGTTAATGAACAACAAGCTGTTCAACCTTCATATATTTTATTCCATCGCGGGTACAAGGTAAAGGTCTATACGGTTGAGACCTCTGGTTCTGACGTTGCTATAAAAAACTCACAGGAGGTACTTAAAATTTGTCTGTTCATTACACTATCAATATATTAACTACAAATCACCGCACGGACAGACATAGTAATATAATTTTCCGGACCAAACACCATAGGTTCTAGGAGAGCAGGTAGTTATATGTGAGGAAGGCGACGGCGGCCATCAGCACGGGCGGCAGCAGCACATCCAGGAGACCCTTCAGCGTGTAGTCGGTGGAGCCCTCGCCCTCCTCGGAGGAGAGCGGCGTCACCACCTCCCAGCGCTCCTCGGCCACCACCTCGCCGACCTTGTACTGCGCGCGCCACAGCTTGGCGTCCTCGCTGTGGCCGACGTCCGCGAAACATTTGGAGGCGTCCTTGCCGGCGTTGTCCAGCAGCACCTCCACGCCGCCGGGATGGTGCTCCAGGAAGTCCGTGACGTCATACACCACGTTGTCGATGATGATGGCCGCGTCCTGGCGCTCGCGTCTCCGGGACACCTCCTCGCGGGTGAAGTGGCGCGTCATGTCTGCAGCTCGGTCCGCGGTGTACTGGGCGCCAGTCACTATCATTACACGTGTTACGACACCGGCCGCTGATGACGCGGGCGCTCACAGGAACTCTTGACCTCACTCACTTGTATAAGTTATAACTAATGCACAGACACTGACGGTGATGTCCACCTTAATGCTATTTAATTGTTACATCGCCAACATGGCCATTGAATACGATCTTCGACTTTCAGCTACAATTTTATTCTTATTCCAGTACTGCTCAGGTGCGCAGACCCTCACAGAGGCGCCTCATTATGAGAATTAGAGATGTGTCTTGTGTATTATCAACTGTATATTAAATATATTCAAAAATGATGTTATGCAAGCGTGTCGTGTTTGTTGATATTTCTTCGAGTAGGGATACATGTCAGGAGCGGTTTACTGATTCATGAAAACTGCTTCAGAAGGAATCCCTAATATTGGTTACGTCAAATGAACCGTCTAGTATAAGCAGAGGTTTTATATATGTTTGTAAACATATACACATATATGTATATTGCATTAGACTTTAGTAATCTACGCATCTTTTTTAAATGATAATTTTCCGTTCCAATGACCTTCGTTAGAGTCGGTGCCGCGGGAGGCTTCCACGACCACCTACAAACAGCTGACGGCTGTATGTACCTACTACTAGAAAATATTACAGTTCATAGAAGTGTGCATAACTGACATGAACCGGTCTCACTGACTGCGTCACGATGACAGGTGAGAGAGAGGCTGGGAGGGGATGGCCGGGGGGGGGGGGAAAGGGAACGTAATATAAAGTTATGTTGTTGTATAACTACACGTGTAAGTTAAATAAAATAATAATATAATCCTCCATGGAAATATACTCAAATGTACAAATATTATAAAAATACAAACACATTCGCTTTGAGTGAACTTAAAACGGAACTGTTGAGATTATGGAAGAACGAGGACCTGGAGCGTCCGTGAGGCCTGGTTCAGGATGATAGGTGAGGAGAGATGTGTGTAGGAGTATAGACAGAGAGAAGGTTACTGATTGAAAGAGAGGGAGGGAGGGGGGGGCGCTGAATATAGAAGACTTACTAGTTGGAGACGGACAGACGTAGAAAGAAATATAGAAAAGACGTAGTTAGAAATACTCTCGGGCGTGTATTATTATCGTCAGTATCTGGTCGAGGGTCCAGGAACCGTCCTCGCTTAACATGAGTAGAGATATTATTAATTAAAACAACGCACCGTTCTTCTTCTATTTACAATTTAAATCTCGACCTTAGTCATGACTCGTTAATTTAATAGTTAGAACTTAATTTATTTTATTGTAAATTTCGTCTTTAACGAGGTCACGAGAGCGACGAGACCTCGTGATTTAGAAAAAGATATTGTATGTAGCAGAAGAAGTTTTAAATAATTATATTAGTAATCTGGAGGTGGCGTCCGTTAGTATCATATGTTAAGAGAAGAGCGCACACAGGGAGCGACAGACACACGAAGTAACTTGAACAAATTGTCATTTTAATGTAAAACTGTAATATAAGATCTATCTATATTATAATGTCACAACTCGTGAGTCTCTCACTACTCTCTGTGTAATTATCATGAAACAAAATGTTTACTATAATAACTATATTTATATGTTATATGTATATTGATAATAGATATCACCTTTAAGATTGTGTCCATCTCCGTTTATTATATTTTTCATACGACAATTTTAAACAAAAAAGTTTAGAAAATAGAAGCGAACTGTCGTTTTGTTGTTCATTATTTTATAATTACATTTAATTTTAAAGCATTCCCGTGCAGGTCGATACACATACTACGAGTAGAGGTATGTGTGTGAGTTAGTAGATGTTTACATTAGTAAAGGTAGGAAGTTCATTCCTGACTATTACATTAATAAATGACACTTAATTTTCTACAACGTCACTGTAAGTGTCTGTAAAGTTCTAGGTAACTTATTATCCCGGATTAACTTTTGTTTAAGATGTAACTTTTGTTAGATTGGCCTTCAGAGTAGTGTAGTTATAGGTGTGTAGTTTTGTTCTATTTCGTTTATAACGTCATTTATAACTCCTGGGAAGTGTATTCAATATCCAAGTCACAGTTTGCTGTACCTGTGTGATCACCAACTATATCTTTTTTAAATCGTTTCACTCACAAGCATTCCTAAACACATAAACTCAGTCAGACAAACTCTAACAGTTCTCATCATTTATATAGCCGTTAAAGAATTCTTTATATTGATTTACTTAATGTATGAGCTACATCCCTCGTACATATGTCTTCAGTGTATCTCTCGCTCCCAGAACCACGCGATCTTATAAATTGATTTAGGGACACTGATCAAATTTTTCGCAGACAATTCAATATGCGGTATCTATTGGTTTTCTCTGGATAAAAAAAAATATTCTAGAAGTTGAATATTAAACTCTAGAGTCGCTGTCATTGGGACAATGACAATGTTGACTTATTATTAGGTATATATTATTTATTTCACATATAAGTTTATATTTGAAAATTAATTATGATATTCATTTCAGTAGCCTCGGAGTAGATCTTATACAAGGAAATAAAAAACCGTATGTTATATTAATTATATATCTACTCAACTATTCACTGAAATAAAATGTTAAAAAGTTATGTTATTATCATTTAATTCTATAACATTATGCACATTTATATTTTATTACTTTCATTATGTTTATTCTTATTATTATTTATTTTAGAATCTATTCTTAGACTTTGTTAATCTCACATATAAATGATGTCATTAAAATATGAAAATGGTGAGTTACAGAAACAAATACCAATTTGATCGAACAAATATTTTACATTATACAAAATATGTATATTATGACCACAAGAGTCACGTGGGTGTGGAGTCAGTCACAGGCTGCTGGTAGGAGTCACCATGACGGGTCAACACTATAAAATAACATCAACCACACCACACGTGTTCTATATATGTAGTATCATTAACAATATAAAGTAAACGAAATATATACACTCATTGTATAATAAATTTTTATATTTATTCATACGTTCTACGATAATTTCAAAGATATCTTAATGTCGCAATAAACGACAGTAACTAATGTTAATATATTCGATGCGGTAAATTATATTATTATGTATTTAAATTTCATTGGCTGACCAGTGGAATGATACACGTTTATACATAATATAAAATATTTAGTAGCTGCAATATTTGCAAAATGGTAAAGAATTTTGTAGTAATTTGCTCATGTAACTAAATTTATTTTAATTATCTTTTAAAACAAACTGATGAGTTGTGACTAATGATAAAAAATGTATATATTTATACCCTGTACTATGTATATAAAACAAATCATAATATTACTTTTATTTGCCCTATCTTTTCGCCAATGTTTTATATTCAACTTCCACACGTCTGTAGAGCCCGTGACAGGTGAGTGGTGACCTGCTGGTCGCCGGTTACTTCCTATACTATTTCTAAATATTCTGAATTTTTTTACCATACAATGTATTGTTTTAATTATAAGTCTCGACGACTCAAAAACATTAGCATGTCTACAATATAAACATATTATTTTCATTTTGTCATCTGTTTCATCTTTAAAAGTCCAAAGGTACAGTACAATTAGAGTGGTAGAGCCTAGCCAGTTGTCCGTTCCCTTTTCCCATCGTTTCTCTTTTCCCTCCCTTTCCCACCTTTTTCTCCCCGTCTTCCTCAATCAAGTAGGCCGTTTGTATGTATGCCCCTTTTAGCAAAAAAAATCAGACTTAAGATATAATTCAATTCAGTTCAATGAGAGTCTATTAAAGTCATTTCTCTTCATATATTCATACAGTATTTCATTCATCGTTTTGTTTCTGTCGACATCAGTTCGATAAAATTCCGTCGCTCATCGCTCTCCGCTTCTAATTGCATTCCCCGCTGACAACTGTTGCATTCCCTGCACGCCGATACAGTTGAAGAGAATTAATTGATATTTGTTAATGCAAATAACCTACCTCAGATGTTAATTGTACACTCTATATTGATAGTTATTATTAATTTTAAATAACACCACGTTCATCTCCTTCAAAGAAATCGACATCGCTGATTTGTACCGAACATAAAGATGAAAACTGTAATAAGTGTACTCAGGAACACATATAGGTACAAGTATTCTGAACAGTGTCTAGTCTTCACGAAGAAGAATGTAAGGTACGGCAGGTCTGTAACATAGATTCCGAGTCTCCAAGAAAAAAGTACATTAGTTATATTAGCGACTCAGTTGTGTACTTCTAGAGTGCTGCTGTTATATGAACTTATTTATTTATTCACTTTAAACCATACACACATCGTCATCAGCCTATCAGAGCCCACTGCTGAGCAAAGGCCTCTTCTCACATGTAGAAGGTTTGAGTATTAATCACCACGCTTGCTCAAGGCGGGTTGATGATTTCAAACTTATAATTGTGAAATTAAATGTCCAGGTTTCCTCAAGATGTTTTCCTTCACCGTCTGTCAGTAGTATATAAATACTCCCAAAAATCCCATTGGTGCTTGCCAGGATCGAACCCGCGCCCTCGTGCATAAGAGGCGGGCCTTTTAACCACTAGGCCAACACTGACTTATACACACACACACACACACACACACACACACACACACACACACACACAAATACATGTACACAATGTAATCAAACCAAAACAAGAAAAACAAATGTATGCAAAGGCTGTGTAATTGCTACAAGCAATCTCTTACAGACAACCTTAAATGAGAGCAACACATTAATAGGACACAGGAAAAGTTAAACTTATATAAATAATTCCTACTAATATATGTAAAGAGTACAGATACACATGCACAGATGAAGAAAATTGAAGGAGCTCTTGAAATTATAAACCAACAACACAATCAGACGCGAACAGCCAACGTTTACTCCATGGCAGTTGACACAAAGAATAGATTTATCACATAGTACTGTCCCGTGGGCTCTGAGGTCAAGGCAACTGTTCAGAACTATCTTACATTAGGAAGAATGAAGCGACTTGATGACTTGGTGCGAGGGATGGTG